GAAGCAAGTCCACCCTGACTTAACACAGACACAAAGTTACGCAAAGCTGTCCAACTGACACGCAGCTCAATTAAAAATTGACAATGCCATGCAGAACATCTGCTCTTGGGACTTGAAGTTTGGGGCTCACATTTGAAAGCAGTGCTGTTTTTTCTATATTCAGCCTCTTATCACATATGGTGTGTGTCACATTGCACAGATCAGCATTCATTCAGACCTCTTGCTGGCTGCCGGGGGATGACTGCTAATGTTTTGAAATGCCACTTGCCCTCAGGGCTTTCCAGAGTAATCTGATATAGACCACGTGGTCCATATTTTAAGCCAAGCTTCACATTTGGTGAGTCCAGATTTTTTAATATAGTACGTTTTCTAACAGACACAGTCAAGAGAGTGCCTCTCTCTCTCTCTCTCTCTCTCTCTCTCTCTCACACACACACACACACACATACACGTTTTTAAGAAAAACAGTAAAACAGCGGGGAAAAACCCAGGTTCTCCATTATTTCCATTATTTTAGAGACTCCCATTTAGAGAACCACTTGTGCCTCTTTTAGAAGGAAGTTGTGGTCACCTTCACCTCAATGAGTGGTGGTGAGTAGTCAAAAGCTCTCTGTCCTTGGCTCACCCCAGCCCATCAGACTCGGGACCAGGGAAAGGGTGCCAGCCTTGATGCTGCAAGATGGGCTGTATGCCCAGGAGCACAGCCAACTGGAGATCCCCTGATGCTAGTGGGGGGGGGTCTTTCCTGCCATCTGCTTTGCTTTTTATTTGAATGTGACCTTCCCCACAAGAGGACCTTGTCAAGAGTGAGGGGCTTATGCTCCTAAACTGACAAATGGGCACCTATTTCAGCTTGTGAGCCTCCTCAAAGGAGCCCAGGTGCATATCCCAGATGCAAGGATGCTGAGCAGTGGTGAGCATAGACTTCTGCCCTCCCCCATCTGCAGAGAAGTACAAACAGTATGGAATAACCCTGGCCCTTGCCACTACCATGTCTAAGCCTGTCTTCTTGGGCATTACCCTGAAGGGATAAGACATGGTAAGAAGTGGGCTATTTGTGCTAGAGTAAGCCTTGATTCAGAAGAACTGGACAGTCAGGTAGGTGTTTTGAGGTTTAAAAAAAATCCCCAAGGCTCTGGGAAGGGAAGGAAGAAGACTGAGTGAGGAGCAGTGTTGAAGGGAAGTGGCCACATGGAAGGCAGTATAGCACAGAGAAGACAAGCAGTGACTACAGCCTCTTACTACACTGATGGACAGCGACCGCAGTGGAGTGGGGAGGGATTGGATAATATGAGTGAATGTAGTAACCACAATGTTGCTCATGTGAAATCTTTGTAAGATTGTATATCAATGATACCTTAATAAGAAAAAAAAAAAAGGGAAGAGGCCAGAGAAGCCTGCTAAGCTGCAGGGAGAGGGAGAGAAGGCAGAGCTGAAACGGTCATCAAGCGGCAACTCTGTGGCTGTGCCTCGCTCGAGTGGGCAGGCTGCAGATTTCCTGCTTTGTCTGTGCTGACAAGATACACGGTGACCTGCTGGATCAGTCGGACTAGCAGGTCAGGCTAGCACACGCCAAAAATCACTGCAGTGATTCAAGGGTTTTTTCTTTTATATCTGTGTTGCTCACAGTAAGTGACATGGAATCAACAGTGGTGGGAGGAGAGCACGTCATGTCACCTCCTCCACCTTTATTTTCTCCCCCAAATGTGCATCTTATTTTATTTGGCACTCCAGCTCTACTTGGAGGCTCTCAAGAATTCTAATTCCCGTTTTACAGAGAGGGAAATCAAGGCTTGGAGAGGCTGCCCAAAGCCACAGAGCTAGTAGGTGGGAGAGCTGGGAGTCTGAGATTTGCTTTCCCAAACCATGAAGTTGCAATTACACCAAACTCCCATTCAGGCAAGCCCCTGTAGAAGCCAAAGGCAGGAAGAAGACTTGTTAGGCTGATGGTAAGACGGCATCTCTTGTTTTGGTCCTCCTGTCTCATTTGTCTTTGTTCACCTCATTCCCTAGGTTCACAAGCCTTTCCATATCCTCTGCCCAACCTGACTCAAAATCCACTTCCTCCAAGAAGTCTCCTAGATTTCCTCCTCACAAATTCAACTTGCAGCCTGTCGTTTGTCCTGTGCCTTACTGCTCCGTAGTTATGCTCTGGCCATTTCCCTGTGAACCTCCACCATCTCCCCCAGCTCCCTAGCCCCCAGAGATCGCCAGATCCTAAGCCCCAGAACTTATGCTCCATTAACTATATGGCCAAAGGGACTTTGCAGAGGTGATTATTAAATTAAGGATCTTGAGATGGAGGGTCACCATGCTGGATTATCTGGGCAGGCCCTATCTAATCCCACAGGTCCTGAAAAGCAGGAAGAGGCAGGAGAGCTAGAACACATGACCGCAGAAGCAGAAGTGGAGCAGATGTGATTGCTGATGGCTGGCTTTGAAGACAGAAGGGGCCACCACCAAGCAGTGCAGGCCTCCTCCAGAAGCCGGAATAAACACGGAAACTGATTCTTGCCTAGAGCCCAGAAGGAACACAGCCCTGCTGATGCCTTGATTTTAGCCCAAGGAGGCCTATTTCAGACTCCTGACCTCTACAACTGTAAGAGAATACATCTGTGTTGTTTTATGCCACTACATCTGCAGTGATTTGGTACATCCACAAAAGCAAAGTAAAACATCAGGACTGTATTCTGTTTGTTCTCTTTTCTCCTCTCCATCCTCCCATGCCAACAAGCCTACCCACAAATGACCAGTACAGTTGGTACTCAGCATACAGCGGGGGCTCTGGAAACCTGTGATGACTAGGCTGCCTCTACAGGGCTCTGGGCTGGCTGCTCAGCCTCTGCTCCCTCTTGCTCTGACCTTGGGAGAAGCCACCCGCTAGCCCTCTCTCCCTGCTCTAGTGCAGGATTGCAGAAACAGCACCGCAAGTGCCAGGGAAGGAGCAGATCTGAAGCTGAACTGTCCTGAGCCTGCATCATGCACACTTAATTCTTACAGGGTTGTATAACTCAGAGGAGAAAATCCCAGGTCAAAATACCTTTGAAACTGAAATCAGTCAAAGGGAGAAATAAAGTGAGAGAAACCCATTTTATTTCTTACAAGCAGTCGTCCGCTTCTGCTGTCCCATGTCTCTCGCAACCCAGTGCATAAGAAGGGACCCCAGGCAAGCTCTCTGGTCCAGATATTCCCTCGCATGACCTTATAATTACCTAGTGATATGGAGATACACTAAAGCCAGGTGAGAGATTCTGGAAATATTGCAATTTTACCCACAAAGGTCTTCTAAGAAAGCCCTGTAAAATGTTGAGGATGGATTTCTGCTACCATTCTTCAGCCTTCCTTCCTCATTTTCATAGCAGAGAGAGTGGGGTGCAGGCCGAGGCTGACTTTACACGCACAGAGAAGGCCGTGTGACCACAGCACAGATTTGAAGCTGTTGGCCTGGAAGATGGGAGTGATGGAGCCTCAGGTCAAAGAACACCAGCAGCCACCAGAAGCTGGGATGGGCAAGAACTGAGTCCTCCCCAACCCCTCTGGAGGGAGCATTGCCCTCCCACCACCATGATTTCAGCTCAGTGATACTGATTTCAGATGTCTGGTCTCCAGACTGTAGAACAAATTTCTGCTGTTTATAAGCTAGTCAGTTTTTGTAATTTGTTACAGCAGCCACAGGAAATGGGTGCAGCTTCTTCTTTAAAAGAGCCCTAAGAGGTCACCAACTCAGCCCTTTATGAATACAGTATCTTTTTATGTTTCTGTTTCCCACATGCCTATTGTTAACTCCCTCCACTTTCTGTAAGTTTCTAATGATGTTTCTAAGGATGTTTAGAAGTCTGATATTTAACCCAAACAGGGCATAAACAGTAATTATAAACTAGATCTTTTTTTCTAGGAAAAATTTTAAAAATCTAACTGACCCCTTATCATGGACCTTCCCACCAACCACTTGCTTTAAGTCTGTTCCAACCAACTGGTCAATGTTTCTCAAAATGGGGTCCCAGGATTGCCTGTGTTGAATCACCTGAAGCACCTGTTAAAAATGTAAAGTCCAGGACTCTCCCCCAAACTTACTAACTAAAAAAAATCTATGGGTGAGGCGCAAAAATCTGCACTTCAAACAACCCTCCCAGGTGATTCTTTGCACACTAACTTCTGAGAGCCTTATGGAAGAAAAAGGTCAGAACTGACCCAAGCCTTCTCCCCTCCATGGCTCTGCAGTGAAACCACTGGCTCTGGGTGGTGCTGACCTCATCTGGGGAAGCCACAGCCATGGCCCCCAAACTGGATACTTGCAAGGAATGTCATGCAGAGCTCCCAGAGGAACCAATTTGTCCTGCCCCTCGTGTTCAAACCACAGAACAACTGCAAAGGTGTTCAGGGTGCTGGGGACCCCAAATGCTTTTCAGAACATGAATCACCATTAGGTAATCATGGTAATTTAACTTTTTAATTAAAAGGACCTCACTAAACAGTAACAGCTTACAAATGCACGTACCCTTTGATTTTGCAATTCTACTTCTGGGAATTTATCCTGTAGATATTCTTTACGCTTGTATAAACATACAAGATTATTCACTACAGAACTGATGGGAATAGTAAAAAGATTGGAAATAATCCAAATGCCATCATTGTGGACCTGATGAAAAAAATTAGAGCACATTCATACAGTGAAAAGTGCTGAGGAAACTGTATATGTAGCGATATGGAAATGTCCCCAAGATAGATTGTGAAGGGGAACCGCAAGATGCAGAACACAAGTACAATATGCTGACTTCTGTGTATAAAAAGGGAGTAAAAAGAATCCACACTCCTATTTGCTTGTATGTTCACAGAGAAATGCTGGAGGTATGTAAAAGAACAGTGGTTATCTCTAGGGCAGGGGAGGGAACTGAACAGATGGGGAACAAGGGTGGGAGGGAGATTTTTCACTAAATATATGATCATATTTTGGGGTTTAGAACCATGTGAATGTGTTATTTATTCAAACAATTTTAAAGTGAAATTTAAAATAATAACCGTTTATTGTGGCTCTCAGAACAAGCCATCTGCTCTGGTTCTCCACACCTTCAAGTCATGGTGTCCATGTGGAGCTCTTCAGAATGGATGCATGTTGCAGGGGCCACCACCGTCCCAGTGGCCACCCTGGTTAGCTGTGGTGCTCCAGACCAGAATGCACATTTGCATTGTCCAAAATGGCAGTAGGAGGCCAGGTCTTTGAGTTCCTTTCCGAGCAGAACCAGCTCCACAAATGTTCTGGGATTTGAGTCCACTGTGCACTGGACAGCTTCAAGAGAGGAACGTCCTAGGGGGCCCGAGTACTGAGTACTCTAATACTGAGGCATCAGCAGCTCCCTGCTTACCAGGGAGGAGTGGTGGCAGCGATCCCGAGTGGCGAAATCTGCGTTCTCCTGGGTGAGTTGAGTCATCTCCATGTTAACCCTAGCCAGGGATGGTGCCAAAATTATCTGCTCTTGGGGGCATCTCAAGTTCCTTCAGTGACAGAAACACAGAGGATGGTCAGATGCTCAACAGTGGGGATAAGTCTCCTTCTCCGGGGTAGAGAAATTATTTGCAAAATCATCTCTGTGCTTATTATTTTGTGCTTATCATTTAATGTGTATTTAAATAGTATAACTACTAAAAACTATATGTACAACAGTTTATGAACCCAAAGTATAAGAAATAAGTATCAAATAAATAAGGAGAGAGAGTGATACTTACCTTTCTTTATAAAAGTGTGTAAAATTGTGCAAAGATAAACTTCCAAATGGTGTCATGTTGGGGTTCTAAAGTTTTTTTCCTTTTTTTTTCAAAATGAAATAATGGAATGGAGGCTGAAAATTTGAGAAGTGTTGAAAGAGAAAACTTCTCTTTGGTTCTTGAGAAAGTTACTCAAGGAATGATTCCAGAGCTGAGGTTTGCATAACAAGCAGCTATAAGGCAAACTGCAAAGGTTTTTGGCCCCACATTAGCCTGAAGACAAAGGGCAAGCCCTGATATGAATTCCGTTCTCACTCAAGTGTCTACATACAATTGGAGTTGGAATAAAGAGGTAAAGAAAAGTGCCGGAGGCAGAATGGAGTAGGGCAAGGCCCCTGGCAGGCAGGGTATGTACGGAAGACAATACAGTCCCAGCTCTGCCAATGATCAGCCTCGTGGCCTCAGGCAAAACTCCTCACCTCCTGTGCCTCTATTTTCTCATCTTTCCAGGTCCTTCCAGTTAGTATAGTCTATGTTAGGCGCTTAAATCACATCTCAGGCATGAGTTTCCTCTTACAAATTTCACTTGAAGAGAATCATCTACTTCACAAATAGTAATGTTCAATTTTTCAAATAAAGAACATATTTGATAGTTGTTTTTTTACTAAAGGTAGAAATCTAACGTTATGAATCTGGAACTTAAGCAGAAAGCTTCAACTGACTCTGGCCAAACATGCTGGGACGAAAGTTGGGATGACATGACTAAGGCCGTGCAGCCACTTGATGAGAACACATCTAAATTAGATAGCTTAAGGTTTTCTAAGAAATGAATTAACGTCTATGAAGGTTGAATTGTTGAGAAGTAAGGTTGGGAAATGACAAAGATGCCATATCAGTTAACATGTGTTTTTGCCAATATGTCATTTTTCATTAACACTTTTTTTTTTTAAGTGAAACCACTACATTCTTCCAAGTTCAGGGGAATAATATACTTTACTTTCTAGTCTAGAACAGCCTAAGAATTCTCACCTGGGCAATTGCTAGGACTTCAGGAAAGAGAGCCTTCTCTAGGGCAGGCTTCACTTCACGTAATTCTAAGCACTGCAGATGTCACAGAGGAAGTAACATAGCCCAATCCCTTTGCCCAAACTCTACAATATTCTTCTTCTTCTTCTTTGGTTTTGAAGAGCATCTGGTGCTATGGTTGTGAAAAAACTCAAAACTACAAAAAAGAAAACACAGCTACCAATTTCTATTTTAAAATGAATCACCATTTCTTGGTCCTTCTGCCCTCCTGAATAATCACCATAAAATATCGCTCACTTGCACGTCAGATGTTGAGGCTTAGCTGAGACCTTCCCACAGAGCTGTGAAGAGTGTGGACTGGGTCCTACCAACTGAAGTACTGTCCTTTTCTAAGAATAATCTCTTCTAAATATTCGTTCATTCTAAAGAACACTACCGTGAAGTGAAATGTCATCTCAGAGGTGACCTCCCATAGCCACTTATAGGCTTTAAAACCAGAAGTGCCTAAAAAAATTCCCGTAAATCTTCAGACCAAAAACTCAACCGCACATCGCTTGTAGCTCTGGAATCTGTAGGCAGCTTCCGCACAGAATCTGTGTCCACCTAATCTCTGCTTTCTCTCAGGACTGAGGTGGTAAGGAAAGAGCTCAGTGTGGGTGTGTTGGGCCCTGCATCATCCAGGCTGGTGCCTCACCCTGGAAGGGAGGCAGAGGGCTGGCCCTCCCCTTCCTACTGCTCCACGCAGGACGGTTAGCCTGGCTTCCAGGCAGGGGACAAGGACTTCTCCCCAGACACTACCCTCCCCCAACCCTTCCCCTGTTGGTTTCTGTAGCTCCTGCTTCTTTGTCTTCATCATCACAGGCTCTAGCACCAAGGACTCATTTCTTGTGCAAACTTAAACAGAGTGATGGTCTTAAAAAGATTCTTGGGAGGGTGGAATAGGGAGCGATGTTTTGATGGGTTTAGCATTGCTGTTTTGCAAGATGAAGAGTTCTGGAGATGCACGGTGATGGCCGCTGCACAGTGTGAATGAATTCGCACCACTGAACTGTACCCTTTACACGGTCACAATGGTAAATTCTATATTACGTATATTTTACCACAATAAAAAAGTTAAATTAAAAAAGGATTCTGTACTCACACCGGGGATCAATGGAAGTGGGTCCTATAATCCATTAGCAATATCTGGGCAGGAAAGGTGGAAATGCAATGCAACCCAGACATCTAGAGTTTCTAAAACAAACCCACACAATGAAACCAGATAAACACTTGGTTGGGTTCTGCCTGGGTTTTCCCAGCCTGGAGCTTTGGTACCTCACAGATATTGAAACGGAAGGGAAGTGATTTCCCAGAGTCCTGAGGCCCTCAAAGGTGAGGAAGCATTGGTACAGGAGGGCTGGAGGAGGAGGAAGGAGGTAAGGGCACCCATGAAACCAGCCTTTTCTGTGAGGTTTTCTCCTGTTTCTCAGGGAAGTTCAGCCTTCCTGTTCCTTGTGCCCCACAGAATCCTCCAGTGTCTCTACTCCATTCCTGTCCTTGGCCTCTGCCCTTTTACCAATGCAGTCATGTCAACCACCTCTGACCTGAGATGGAAGAATGGGAGTCCTTTGGGCCTTAATCTTATATATGAGTACGTATTTGTGCTAGTACGTTTTACACTGAACTCACTGAGAGTAGCTCTCTCACCAGCCAGCAATCATATTCTAATTGGTTTCTTAATAAAACCTCCATTTGTGATTCTTGAGGATAAGAAGGGCAAAGGGACAAGAGCCAGAGGAAGCTTCTGGGGGCTAAAGCTGAGCTAAGGCTCATGAGCTAAGGCTGGGGGCCAGGCGGCAGAAGGCCGCTGAAGCAGAGGCTGCGCATCCTTAAGGTCTTCAGTTGCCAGGTTCCCACAGCACAATTCACCTGAGCCCAGCCAGAACTGGACGTGCTCAGCCCCTCTACCATGACCCTCATCCACCCTGGCCCTGACCGCAGACTGGCACAGACCTGTAGGAGGGCATCAGGAGAGACCTCATCCATCTGAAAAAGCTGAAGCTGGAGGCTGATCCTGCAGGAAAGATACGTACATAAACACTGATGAAGGCTTATGCATACCTCTAGAATCCTGGGTTTAATGGGGTGTATATACAGCCCTGACACACACAGAATTAGCACAAATGCTTTCTTTTTTCCATTTTCAGTCTAACCAAACAATATTCATTGTCATACTCTGTGACAGAAGCCTCTTAGAGACTTCATACCATATGTAGACTCCAAAACTTTATTTCTAAACTCCAAAACCCCAAGAAAGAAACTAACTAGTGTTACTGACAGAAAAAGCAGAGGCCTTGCTAACTTTAGTCTTGGGAATTAAAATTTTTTGATGATATTTTTTCTTAGATTCAAACTAGTATGTGTTAAATTCTTGCTATAAAATCTACTAGATGGTTTGCTCTTTGAAGATAGGAAGAACATATTTTTTTTATTGAAGTATAGTCGATATATGATCTTGTATTGGTTTCAAGTATACAACACAGAGGTTCAACGGTTACCCATATTATTAAATCTTCACCCCAACTATTGCAGTTACTATCTATCAACGTAAGATGATGTTACAGAATCATTGGCTATATTCTCCATGCTGTGCAACCATCCCCATAACCAGGTTATATTGAGAATTTTTGTGCCCCTTTATCCCTCTCATTCTCTTCACCCACCCACTCAAACCCTCCCTCATGTTAACCACCAGTCACTTCTCAGTGTCTAGAAGTCTACTGCTATTTTTGTTCATTTTATTTTTATATTCCACAAATAAGTGAAATCATATATGGTATTTTTCTTTGCCTGGCTTATTTCACTTAGCATAATACTCTCTAGGGCCATCCATGTTATCACAAATGGCATGAATTCTTTCTTTTTTATGACTGCATAATATTCCATTGTATATATGTACCACATCTTCTTCATCCATTCGTCTATTGATGGACACTTTGGTTGCTTTCATATCTTGGCTATTGTAAATAATGTGGTGATAAACATATGGGTGCATATATCTTTTTGAATCAGGGATTTTATTTTCTTCTGGCAAGTTCCTAGAAGTGGAATTACTGGGTCCTATGGTATTTCATTTTTAGTTTTTTGAGGAACCTCCATACTGCTTTTTACAGTGGCTGCACCAAATTACATTCCCACCAACAATGTAGGAAGGTTCCCTTTTCTCCACATCCTCAGCAGTACTTGTTATTTCTTGTCTTTTGAATAGTGGCCATTCTGACTGGTGTGAGGTGATATCTTATTGTGGTTTTGATTCGCATTTCTCTGATGACTGGTGAAATAGAATATCTTTTCATGTGCCTGTTGGCCATCTGTATTTATTTTTTGGAGAAATGTCTGTTCAGGACCTCTGCCCATTTTTTATTTGTTTTTTTTTTTTTGGTGTTGCATTGTATGAGTTCTATATATATTTTGGATGTTAACCCCTTATCAGATAAATCATTTACAGAAATATTCTACCATACTAGAGATTGCCTTTTTGTTCTCCTGATGTATCCTTTGCTGTGCAGAGCTTTTTAGTTTGATGTAGTCCCACTTGTTCATTTTTTCTTTTGTTTCCCTTACCTGAGGAGCTGTGTCCAGGAAAAAATTGTTCATGCTCATGTTTAAGGGATTTTTGCCTATGTTTTCTTCTAAGAGTTTTATCGTTTCATGTCTTACATTTAGGTCTTTGATCCTTTTCAAGTTTACTTTTGTGTATGGAGTTAGACAGTAATCCAGTTTCATTCTCTTGAATACAGCTGCCCAGTTTTCCCAACACCAGTTATTGAAGAGACTGTCTTTTCCCCATTGTATATTCATGACTCCTTTATTGCATATTAATTGACCATATATGTGTGGGTTTATATCTGGGCTCTCTATTCTGTTCCATTGATCTATGTGTCTGTTCTTGTGCAAGTGCCATACTGTTTTGATTACTGTAGCTTTGTAGTATAGCTTGAAGTCAGGAAGTGTGCGATCCCCAGCTTTGTTCTTCTTTCTCAGGATTGTTTTGCCTATTTGGGGTCTTTTGTGGTTCCATATGAATTTTAGGATTATTTGCTCTAGTTCATTGAAAATGCCACTGGTATTTTGATAGAGATTGCACTGAATCGATAAATTGAGAAGAATATCTTTTTCATCTTGGAACACCCACTTAGAAAGTTTTCCATATGTGTTATGTGAATCAAATAGCTCAACATGTAGAAACATTAGAGCTGAAGTTTGAAGTGAGATTGTTGTCATGATAGCTAAATATCCTGACATCAGACACACTGATTAGAACAGGATTTATCAACTTAAAAAAATCATCCTTCCTTTGGTGTGTGTTTTAAAAAATCTCACATAATAAATTATATATAACTTTAGGAGACCAAATCAAATGTAATTTTATAAAATGCTTTTCCAAACTATATATACTCATTCCACTAGAGATCTATACATATAAATGATTGGTTGATAAATTAGTTAATTAGATGATGTCCATGACCAGGAAGTTAGTATTATTTTAAGAGGCTTATATTGGAATTTTGGCTAATATCAACAGTATGCAGCTAAGGGAGGAAAAATTTTAGATTTGCATTAATATGTATAATTCCGAAGAGGAGTTTCCTAATATATTTTGATATTATTAGAAGGAAGAAAGCAAACATAACATTTTATTAACTGACTCTACTTATTTGTGATCATTTAGATTCTAAATTACATAAATTTTATATGTAGATTGGTCTGAAATTTGATTTCATAGATTTTTCCTTGGAATAGATTTCTGAAAAATATTTAAATTTCTTAAGTTCAGGCTAATTTCTAGGAAATTAGTTTCTGAATTCTAAGAAACTCAGAAATACAGATTTCTGAGAAAATTAAATTCAGTAATGTTATTGCTTTGTTAACTTAAATATATTTTACCCCTTGAATTAGCTTATATGAGGACCTCTTCTTAGGATGACTTTTTCTAAAGCATTATTTTTAATGTACATGTGACTTAAAGTGTTTGAAGTACATTTGTTTCAAAAATATATATATCAGACTGTTTTAATTTTAAAGATTTTTTTTCAGTTTGCCTCAATTATTATAGTCTGTCTGATTTAGTTAAACTTGAAATTAATTGCTTTATTCAAAATTCTGGCTTCATAGAATTTTGCTGAAAGGGGCTCTCAAATATGTTTTTAAACAGTTTTATTATTGAGGAATGAGTGACATATAATAACAGAGTATTGACTATATTTTTTTGTTTTCTGTATTGCTGATGCTCTAGAGTTTGGAGTCTTGATCCTGGAGGTGCTAGCTTATTCCTAGAGATAGCTAACAACTTTCCTGTGAGCACATTTTTGATATTCAAATGACATCCCCAGCCCCCAATCCCTTCATTAAATTCACAGACCAAGCTAATATTCTCCTGACCTAAATTACCCCAGGGCCAGGTACCAAAGAAATATAGATCATTCCAATAGCTCAGAGCCCACCAGAATTATTCAAACTATCCAATCCTAAATTTATGCAGCTATCTACCTGCCTTGCCCATTCCTTCCCATAAAAACTCCAATAAAGGCTTTGCGCCATCTTCTCCCTTTTCCTTTTCTGCTACCTGACCAACCCTGATCCTCCCCATGTGGCTCTGTGTGGCATGCTTGCCTCTTGTTGCTAAGGATCTGTGAGTATAAACTTTTTCTTTCATGATAACCATCACTGTACCTGTGTGTCTTACCATATCTGAGTAAAACAAACCCTGAGTACATTTTTAGAACAAACTACATACAATCAAAGTATACAATTTGATAAGTGTTAGCACATACACATATTGTGAAACCATCACCACAAGCAAGATAATGAGCATACCTATCACCTCAAAGGTTTCCTTACACCACTTTGTAAGACCTCCCTCCCCTGTATCCCCACCCCTGAGCCCCATCCAAAGGCAACTACTGATCTGCTGTCATTACAGATCGGTGTGCATTTTCAATAAATAAAAAAATATATATAATTATTAAAACTATATATATACACACACACACACAGAGTTTTTTGTTCTGTTTTCTTATTATTGGATTTTGAGTCTCTAGCATATTCTTGATACATGTCCTTTATCAATTATGTGATTTGCTAATATTTCCTTACAATCTATGGTTTGCCTTTGCATTCCTTTACCAGTGTGTATTTGGAAGATTAGAGTCCTTAATTTTGATGAAGCCCAATTTATCAATTTTTTCCCTGCTTTTGGTGTTTTATCTAAGAAATCTTTGCCTCATTCACAGTCACAAAGATTTGTTTTCCTGTATTTTCTTTTAGAAGTTTTATACTTTCAGATTTTACATTTAGCTCTAGGATCCATTTTGAGTTATTTTTACATTGTATGATGTATGGATTGAAGTTTATTGTTTGCATATGAATTTCCAATTGTTTCAGCACCATTTGCTGAAGATATTTTTTAACTCCACTGAATTATTTTTGCACCATTTTTGAATGCCAGCTGATCATTTATGTGTGGGCCAATTCCTTGACTTTCCAACTGTCCACTGATTTATTTGTCTATCTTGATTCCAATACCATCCTGTCTTGATTACTTTAGTTTATAATCAGTTTTGAAATCAGATAGTGTAAATATCCTCCAACTCTGTTCTTGTACAAAATTGGTTGGGCTATTCTAGATCCCTTGCATTTCCATACAAATACTTTAGAATCTATTTGCCAGTTTCTACAAAAAAGACAGCTGAGATTTTGATTGAAGTTCTGTTGGATCTATAGAATAATCAATAGAGAATTGACATCTTAACACTATTGAATTTTCCAATTCAAGAACCCAGTATATCACTTAATTTATTTCTTTAATTTCTTCTCAGAAATGTTTTGAAGTTTTCCTCTTCTAGTTTATAAATATGGTGAACACATTGACTTAGAATGTTAAACCAACCTTGAATTCCTCAGATAAATCCACCACTTTATTATGGTGTATTAATCTTTTTATATATTTTATATTCAATTTGTTAAAATTTTGATAAAAATTTATTGCATCTATGTTCATGAAAGATATTGGTATATAGTTTTCTGAGGAGTATTATAGAATTAATATTTTTTCCTCCCTAATGCTTTGTGGGTTTCATTAATGAAGCTTTTGGGCCTAGAGTTTTCCTTGTGGAAAGGTTTTTAATGACAAGTTTAATTTCTCTAATACATGACCTAAATAGCTCTCTATTTCTTCTAGAGTGAATTTTGCTGGTTGGTCTTTCAAAAATTTATCCAGTTCATGTAAGTTTTCAAATTTATTGGCATAAAGCTGTTTATAATATTCCTTTATTTTCCTTTTTATATCTGCAGACTCTTTTAGTATATCACCTCTCTCACTCCTGGTATGGGTAATTTGTGCCTTCTCTACTTATATTCTGATCAGTTTGACTGGAATTTTTCAATTTTAATGATCTCAAAAAACCTTCATTGTCATTCCCTTCATTTAAAAATTTTACTGATTTCTACTTTGACCTTTATTATTTCCTTTTTCTTATTATTTGGATTTAATTTTATCTTCTTTTTCTGGTTTCTTAAGTTAGAAGCTGCATCACAGATTTGAGACTTTTCTTCTCTACTATGAGCATTTGATGCTATAAACTTCCCTATAACTACTGAATTAGCTATATTCCACAAGTTTGATATATTTTCATTTTTGTTCAATTCAAATACTTTATAATTCATGTTCATACTTTCTTTGAACCATAAGTTATTTAGTTTCTTTAGTTTATTCAATGTTCTTAGTTTTTTCGTATTATTTGGCATTCTTTAGTTTCTAAGTATTTGGGGATTTTTCAGATACCTTTCTATTAGTTATTTCTAATTTACTTTCCTTTTGATCAGAGAATATACTTTGTTCTTAAATTGACTTGAATACCTTCAAATTTACTAAGACTTTTTTTATGTCCGAGATTATGGCCTATTCTGATGTTTCATGTATACTTGAAAATAAAATATATTCTGCTATTGTTAGTTGGAATGCTCTATAAATGTCAATTTGGCCAGGTTTGTTGATAATGTTATTCAAATCTTCTAAAGCTTAAATTATTTCATGCCTACTTGTTTTATCAATTATTGAGAGAAACATATTGAAATTTCTAATTATAATTATGAAATTTTCTATATATTGTTGTAGTTCTATCAGGTTTTTCAAAGGTCTGTTTTTTTAAGTGAATAAATGTTAAGGTTTATTATGTCTTCTTGATGAATTTTTTCCTTTATCTTTATGAAATGATTCTCTTTATCCCTCATAAAATTCTTTTCTTTGAAATCTATTTTGTCTGATGCTAATATCATTTTAGCTTGTTTTGATTCATGTTACTATGGTATATCTTTTTCCATCCTTTTACTTTTAACTTATTTTCTTTATATTTAAAATAGGTTTCTTGTAGGTATTATATAGTTGAATTATGCTTCTTATTGAATCTGACAGTCTCACTGTTTAGACCATTTAAATGGGAGTATTTAGATAATTTATATTTAGTGTGATTATTGCTATGACTATGACTAGGTTTATGTAAACCACCTTATTTTTTATTTTTGTTTGTCCACATGTCCTCTATTATTTTTTCCTCTTTTTCTGTTTTTTTTTATTGAAGTATAGTTGATACACAACATTATATTGGTTTCAAGTATACAACACAGCAGTTCAACAGTTACACACATTATTAAATCCTCACCCCAACTAGTTCAATTACTATCTGTCAACATAGAAAGATGTTATAGAACTATTGGCTGTATTCTCCATGTTGCACTTCCATCCATCCCTGTGACCAACTTATATTATGATTGAGATTTTTATTTTCCTGCTTTATTTTGATCTGAGCATTTTTAGGTCAATTTTATCTTTTATTGGCTTATTAGCTATAACTTTGTGCTAGTGGTTGCTTTAGGGTTTGTTATATACATTTTAACTTATCACAGTCTACCTTTAAGTGATATTACAGTAGTTCACATTAGTATCAGAAACTTTCACCAGTATACTTACATTTCTTCCCTCCTGGCCTTGTACAATTATTGTCATCCATTTTATAAACCTAGGTTCTTTTTTATTTGTTATCATTTATATGTATATCATATTTTTCCTCCTAAACTGTAACTTACTTGAAAATGGGATTCATATCTGAGTCAGTGTTGGCATTTAATAGGTACTCAAAACACATTTCTTCAATGAATGCTAAAAGAGAAGGGAGTTGGTGGCAAAATGGCTCTGCTACTTACCAAGGGGAAGCCCTGGACTGGTCCGACCAATGTAGAAATACACAATGGCAGCAACACCCATGTTAACCAGGGTATAGACCCACTGAATCACAAACATGATGAGAAGGGACCCGACAGCCTGTGGAAACAGAGTAGGAAAGGCAAGTAACCTAGTGATTTATCACATGGTAAGCAAGCCACAATGCTAGGGCCTTAAGAAACAACAGTCCGTCTCATCAACCTCTGGTCATTTTGCAAGTCTAAATAATTAAAGGTTACTCATAATTCAAAAAACCCAAGCAAATATTTGAGAAGTACTCTCTAATCAAAACTATCAATAAATAGATATTCTATCCTAGCTTCTTGTCGTATTCCTCCCTAGAGGAAACAAATTAAGAGTGAAATTATGCTAATATGATATACCTAGAAATTTAGTGACTCTGAGGTTATCAGAGATGAATTATTTTAAAAGTAAGCTATTGATTAAAATA